TTTTGCCTGTGACGGTAAATGCTGAGTGATCTCCCTGTCCTTATCTCAACCCCACAAGCCTGTTGTTACTTTTTTTTTTTTTCTTCTTTTTTCTCCTCTCTCGCGTCCAGTTTAGGAGAGGGAGTGATAGAGCGGCTTTGGTGGGCACCTGGCATTTTGGCCAGGGTCAACCCACCACAGTCCCTCTCCTCCCTGCTTTTAACTTCTTTCCGTATTCTGATTTTTTTTTGGTATTTTGACCTGCCTACAGTCACATGGGATTTAAACTGGATCTACTCAGGTACACTTGCAAATAAAAATTACATACACTAAAAACAACTCTTCACAAGTTCAATGTACTCCAATTAAGTTGAACACTACTTTAAAGAGATAGCACGCAAAAGAACAGGGTTATTTCTTCCTCATTATGATACTAACCATCAACTTGAATTACAATATGCTGAAAAGCTAAAAGAAACAGCACTTAGAACAACCTTACAAGAGTCAAATCCTTTGAAGAAAGGAGTACAGATGTATCATAAGAAATAACCAAAATGATGACAGAAAATAAAGATACTGCAGCCAACAAGATGGCACCAGCTCAAGTGAACAGCCGTGCAAGGGAAAGCGATATGGACAGGAAAACTACTCAGCAAAGCAGCCAGTCAAGGTCTAGAATAAAGGGAGGAAAAAATGGGTAGCAGCAAAACAAAAACAAATGAAGTTGCCTCCTAGGAGTGACTTGACAGGCCACAAACAGAAGCAAGCTTACCAAAAGCAGCTTTGTCCGTGACCTGCTCCCATGGGCTCTGAAGGCAACTTTTACTCTGGTTCCTAGAGATAGCTGTCCTTAACGTAGGTCCTGATGATAAACTCTGCAGGGAAAACAAATTTTAAGAAGTCAGTGCAACATCTCTTTACATTTCCCTTGCCGTCTCCTGCTGGGGGCGCGTTTCATCCAAACACCCAGCCAAGTACCCAACTTGACCATGCTTTCTTTTACATTTGCACTTTGTTTGACTACAAGTATAAATTACCCCTTCCCTTGTAACCTGTGATCTTACTATCAGTGAGGGAGAAAAATGCTAACATTTAATATAAAGGCTGAAACAAGTGTAGCCTCAAGTAGCGATTATAAAAGACCAAATTTTTGTTTGCAAGGTAAGTATGTTGCTGGCAGGAGACCAGATTCTTCAGTAATTTTGCTAAACAAAATCAGCTGAAGAATCTGCATCAAAAACTCCTGAATGTTTGTTTCTTTAAAAATGTAACACACTCTTCACATTTGCCACCCTGCATAACTTGGGGTGTTACTTGTGAAAATGTGAAAAACAGACAGGAAAACAGCTTCAAAGGTAAAGGCACCACAGGATTTCCTAAGGAAAGAGCTACCAATTGCACACACTTTCAGCTCCTGAAATTTAGAGAGAAGGGAGGGGACAAAAATTGTCGAGGATTCACTTCCACTAACCCCATCAAGTCCTGTCTCTAGATGTGATACAGGAAGTAGCATCTCCTCTCTTTGCCCTTGGTCATGGAAAAAAGGAACAGAATCAACAAATAATACTATAAATAGGAAAGACAGGCTACCAACAATTAATTAAATTTATTACATCTCTAATATAGCGCTTTGTCTTAATTACTTAATGTTTTTGCAAGCTAGAGTTTTTCATGATTTGAAATTATTTCAGATCTAAAAGGGAGAAAGCGGAACCCCTCTAAGGCAATAAAGAACAGATATACATTCACAAGAAACTCATCCTCTTCAGTAACGCAGTAAAGAACACACATTTTTCTTCAAAATTTTATTTCAATTTAAATTATGGGGCCAGCCAGATTTTTTGGATAAGAAATGCATTTTCCTCAGGAGAAATGAAATGCTACCATGGAAGTAGAATTACAATTGTATACATCTCTTATTTAAAAAAAAAAAAAAAGCCAAACCAAAAACTGCTCACATTTAAATAACTTTTAGTAATACCCTTAAGCCTTCAATCAGATAGGAAACCACTTCCAGAACACAATTTTTTAATACAAAGAGCACATCAAATGAGCTTTAATTTAAATACAACTTCTTTTGAAAAGCCAACATTCAAATGTTCCCACATACTAAAAAAGTCACCATAGCCATTCTTTCCAAGGCCTAATATAGAATAACCTCTATCCCAGTCCAAATGTTTTCACTTCTTTACATATATAAATCTTTAGCACGTCTACATTTACTGAAGAGGAAGCCTTATATGTTATGGTGAGTAACTTGGCAAATAACGTTTTCCTCCACTCAGCTACCACAAACCAAAACATAATAGACTTGTTAGTACTGAACTATAATACCATCTCACAGCCAATTCTGCCTGCCTGTGATCTTCGGTAAGAGTAAGCTATTTTCTTTCCTGTAGGCAAAAGGAATTGGTTTGCAAAGGACACGTTAAGAACCTTTAAAAGACCAATTATAATGTTAAAAGCAATTTTAAACAACTGAGTGAAAACACTAATTTTCTGGAGCTGACTTCCCTTGTGAAGGCTTTCAAATCAGCTTAAATGTCACTTAGGATTTCGTCTTGCTGATTGCGAAATATTTTAATTAGGAAGAGGTCAGGAAGCAACAAACATTTTCTATAGCATTCGCAATCAGATTCAGCCATGCAGCATTTGAACTTTTAGACACCAATCCATAAGTTTGCTTGGTTGTGATCTTAGCGTTACTATATGATGGATAGATACAATTTCAATAACATCATTTAGCTGTATTTAGTAGATTCCTTTTGTATGGTCACAGTAACAAAAACATGGTGCAAAATCAGTTGGGTTTTTTGTTTTCATAAATACTGATAGTTTGCAGCATTAAGGAACAAAAATCAACAAAACTGAATAATTTGGTTACCCTAGGATATCTATGAAACTGTTTCTTGAAGTCAGAGGGAATTAAATCATTCACTCACACAATTACTGTACTGAGTTACTTGCTCTAAGAAGGAAATGATGCACTGCAGGCTCCCCAGAAGCAAGAGGAATCAATATTAATTTAGCATAATCTTTGCCATTTGCAGAGCTGGTGAGCACAATGCTAGTTTAATTGAATAAGGCCATATTATCCAGTGAGAATGTAGTATAAAGGGTTCCAGTTCTCTATTTCAGCCTACCCTAACTGATGGCACCCCATTAGATAAGCGAATACAAAGAATTTGTTTGAGTTTTTTCCTTTTAATGCTGCAGTACTTAAGATTGTTAAATCAGCATTTCCATGTGATCGCAAGTATTCAATTACATATGAGCATTCATTTTGCAAAACTCAATATTAGGTAATAGTTACAGACTAATACAATAACATTCCTCTGCTGTACAAATTAAATCATACTTTAAAGAAATGAGCAGCCTAGGAGTTATATACAAAAGAAACCAGCAAGCATTGTTGAAATGAAATGCAAAATGTCACTGCTAGGTCTACTGTCTGAAATACCTTTACAGTAAAATTAAGAAAAACCCTTAGAACATATTTCCAAGTTTACAAGTCAATTCTCAGAAAAATCAAATCATGTCAAAAAAAAAATTCTATAAAGCAGTGAAAGGCATATATACATTTTCCTTATGAACCTTGAGATCTCACTCTTTCAAAATTTGCTAAGTTTCATTATCAGTTTATTTGCAAGACAACTGTTTATCCCAATAAGCTCACATCTTAGATACATTTCCCCTTTGATTACAAATAAAGCACTGCACTTTTTTTTTTTTTTTTTTTAAATCAAGGCATATAATCTTATACTATGGTGCCAGGTATGCACAGGTCACATTGTGCTCATATCTCAAACAAGGTAAGTGCAAACATACAGATTTATTCAGATTCGCAAGCATGCAACCTGTTACTTGACTACATTAGTATCTTCTCTCCTAAACCAAACTAGTATCTATATGTTTGCTTCCACGAACCTAGAATCTTTCTTTTCAGGACTCCTAAAACAAGCAGTGTCTTTGAATTCTGAAATGACACAAATATCAAGAAAGTCCACATTGTGCAAGAAAGCAGCAGCTATGTTTTTCAACTTGGACTAAAAAAGAAAAGAGAAAAACAAAAACCGTTCTTTGAACAGCAGATTAGCAGTAATGTTCCTCATGAATCGGTAAGAGTGCCTGATGCTGAATATCTAACAGCAAATGCTGAATTTGGGTTTAATATTTTAAGGGTTTATTGGAGATTAAGCTTCTTGCTGTGCTGGTCTCTTCAAATCCCTGATCTGTTTAACTAAATAGGTCTTCTCATCATTAAATTGTTCATCCTCGGTCCTGTCATTCTGAAACTTGCTGAGGAACTCAATAAGTTTGGTCTGGTTCTTTAGAAGGATGTCTAATATAGGCTGTGTCTTGTTAGGATTGGCTACAAACACCTGCAGGAAAATAAAAGGCATTTAGCGTAACAGTAGGAAACAGAAGGCTAAGCTAAGAAACAAACCTAGCCAACAAAACAGTAGTGACAGTAACTTTAAATCATGTTTTAATTACTCCATATTCCAGAATCTCTACAGAAAAAATAATGGAGTAAATGCAAGTTTTAAAATATAATTACTCTTTTTAAAAATTAAAATAGAAGCCGAACACCAGTATCAAAGTAAATGAAATTTGTGGGAGGTGATCAGCCACAATCACCTCTGCAGAAACAACTGAAGACACCTCATGGTTAAATTCCATAGCTAATGCATGGTTTCATATTATATACAACATCAGATGGATATCCTCAAGTTCACTGAAAACTTTTATACCTCAAGTTGTCTCTCCAAGCTCTAACTATTTACTTATCTGCTGCAAAGTCAGAAGGTATCTGTTATAATGTGCAAATTACAATTTAGGCTTTGAAATTTAGGTGACGACTAAAATACTGCTATCCTTCATAGATCGTGCAGCATGATGAAAACACTTTTGAACTCCAGGATGTTTCATGATTTCACATGAAATCATGCACTCCTCCTTATCTTAGTGCACTTCATCTTTCTTAATTTCAAAAGTTTTTGAGAGAGATTACACTGACAACCATATGAAAGTCCTTAAGTAGTTTCTAAATAGTTTTCAAAAGATAGAGACAGCTGTTTGTAAAGATGGATCATAATTTAACCACTTGGCAGACATCAAGGGTAAGCTCCACTTTGGCTCAGCTAAGTAGTTATCTAAACAACTTCTGGTGGGGTTCTGGTGGGGTTCTTTTGTTGATAGTTCTATTCGGGTTTTTTTTTAAACATACCTTAAACACATGAAAGGCCTCAAACTGAATGTTACGACTCTTGTCTCGTAGAAGATTCATCATTAGTTTGAGATTTTCAGGTTTACTGATGTACTTCGTCATAATTGTGAAGTTGTGTCTGTCCAATAACAATTCACCAAGAAGCTAAAAGTGGGAAACAAGCCCAAATGAAAAAGTGACTGGCATTGGACATAAGAGACAACTTTTTCATAAGTGCATTCAAACACATGGAGTAGTTGACATGGATCTGTAAATACAGTAACAATAGAACTCAAATATCCTGACTTTCTAAGCGCAAGGTGCATTTTCCTCTTTTGATGCAGTTTCTCCTTTTTCTCAAATGTGAAAAATTGCCTTTTGTTCTCCCCTCGTTATGAACTAGAATTGAAAAAGAAGTCTTACACTTCCCCCCCCCATGATTTCATTATTTTTTCATTGATACAGAAGCTATACCTCCCAAAGAACATGGCTTTAAAAAAAAAAAAAGTTAGTACTTCAAATGAGAACTATTTACACTTCTTTTGCTACCTTCTTTGTCCAGAAGGGACTAAAAGGATATTCCCTACAAGTACCACCCTTGCTACAAGGTATGTATTATATTCACGTTTACTATCACTCACTTGAACATAAGACTGGTATTGCTCTAGTCACATGATGTGAATCTTTATGAAATTGTTTAAATGTGTCAGATTTGTTAAAGGAAAAAAAACCAACCAAAAATAAAAACACTTGCATAATGCCCTTTCTACATGGCGAGGGACTTGGTGTGTGCTGGACACTAAGTAACAGAAGGACTGGACTAAAGAAAAGCAGCCGATCTCAAGAATTAAAACATATGAAAAATTAAAATAAACACTATCCAAGGCAGTAACTGAAGCCATTTCAATTAAAGTCAATCCACCCTGAAATTAAAGGAATTCTCTAACTTTGCATTTACAAAGACAATGGAATTGCCTTACCTTAAGTGACTGTCTCTTTGTCACATAATTTTCCGAATGAAGTAACTTCTCATATTCACTGAAGAACTAAATACAGAATAAAGGGAAGGGTTAGGACCTTTCCAAATGTCATACGCACTCTTCTTCCAAATGATTATAACAAACTGCAGGAGATGCAAATCCATAATAAAAATGTAAGCAAAATCTGAAATCTCAGTAGGTTCCTGTAAATTTTATTTACTCTCTTAGGAGCCTTTAATATTTAGATTGCAATGTGGTGGAAGTAGTTATCCCATTAATTCTTAAACTATTATAGCTCCTGGTACTGAACACTGTTGATGAATTTCAGGAGTCCAAGCAGGTGGAAGAGGGCTATCTTGCATTCTTTGATGGTTATGGGTTAATACCGGCAAAAGAAAAAGACAAGGAAAGGGTTCCCTCTAGCGGAAAAAATCAGATCTAGTTCTCACAGAACTAGATTTCTGCCACCGTTTCTTGCTTTTACACCTTTCTACGTGCAATAATAAGGCCTTGAACTTAATTTTACTGCTTGGCAGAAACGACTGTCAGTTTCCAAAAACAAAGCTAAACAAGGAATGAAAATACTGATTTCTTCAAGTAAGATACACAGCACTAGAAAATTCTGAATATCAAACGTATCTGCTCACCCTATCATAATGTTGTTCCAAAAATTCTGCACTTAGCAACTTATGTCTTGTAAGCAAATCCTGTAAAAAAGCACAAACCCAATATTTTCACTAAAATAAACAGCACATACACATTCTCATTGAACAGTGAGTACACATAAGACATCCAATAGAAAATTTTGCTATTCATTAAATGATGAAATTTAGGACATGAATGCAGTTACCCGGACACTGTTGAGGATCTTGGCATCTCTTAGGAAAGTCTACAATGTGTTATGTTGATTCACACAGGTAAATAGCCTGTGGAATTATCACCAAAAAATGCCATTTATGGATCAAGGCTATGCTCTGCACAGAACTATACACAACCAAGGTTAAGCCCCACTATTTAATACTGATCAATATTACGCTTATAGTCCCATAACCGGTTGTTTTAGGACAACGAAAAATTTTCCCAGACAAAGCATCAGCATCAAATATACTCAGGTTCATAACTGAATAAAAAGCAATTTGCTCACTTGAGGAGTTGGAGACACAGATTTAAAAGCCCCCAGCAGGTAAGTGCACATGCATTCAGTTTAAATCTTGCTTTCTAGAATAAAAGTCATCGGGAACACAGAATATATAATTAAAGGTATGTCTTGCACTCTGAGAAATAAGGAAGAGCAGTGGCCAGCTTACCCATTTGTATCACACCTATTCTTTTTTCCCTCTCCCTAGGCTTATTTTGCCCATGAATCTAAGACACATCATCTGGGTTCAGAGAACTATAGAAATAATAATTCAAACGTATGTAAGTTACCTTGAATGTGGCAAATGCATCCGAAGCAATGTCAAATGTTGACATTTCCACGTATCTGAAGAAATCATAGAATTGTTCTGACCACAAGATTATTTTAGCAAGTGGTTCATGCCTGATGCATTCTCTAAGCATTATTCCACAATTTAAAGCAATTTCTGGAGATTCGTACCTATTTAAAAAACAAAACAAAACAAAGATTCTTTATAAATACTTTCACAAGTTAACACTGCAACACCACACTGTAATTACAGTTTTCAGTGCTATCAAGTAAACAAAATTCAGAAAGTTAGAGGTATTATTTCTGCATTAAATTCCACTTTGAAAGACTTCTACAAAATATTACTGAAATCATTGCCAGTTAAATGCCAAATTACAGCCAATACAAATGACTCTCAAACTGAGAAGCAAGACTAAACAAAAACAATTTCTTCATACTCAAAATCAGTTTTCTTTTTTCATATTGATGGGATTGCAGACATCTGAAAAAGCAGTAAGTGATTTCTCTTTTGAAAGCTGTTTGCTTAAACATGACAGCAATTTACATAAAACTATCCATGATGAGCATGAATTAACAATACTGGACATAATTTCATGTCTCCTCTTTCATTAAACCATTTTTCAGCATCACTGGCTACTCTAAACGTCACAGGCTTCAAGCTTGAAATACTGGCAACAGTGTCCTCTGATTGTAAGGACAACATTGAACATCTCTGTGCCTGAGTCTTCACTGCCTCTAGCAAAGTATCTGCACTTTCTTACAAGAGACCCCTGGAACACGTCCATCACTGGACGGATGCTTCTGACGGAAGCGATGAAGCCACCCCGATGGCTTCATTTCCAAATTGTTGCTATATTTCTTTGGCAGGCTTTCGTGCTCAAATACTACAAGGTTTTCCGAGTTGATTTTAGCATATGCCAACAGCAGCTGTCAAAAGACATGTAGATGTGGTGCTTAAGGACATGGTTTAGCAATGGACTTGGCAGTGCTGGGTTAACAGTGGGACTCGATGACCTTAAAGGTCTTTTCTAACCTAAACAATTTGATGATTCTATAAAACTCACAACCGTGTGTTTAAGACACATTTGACAGAAATACACCTTTGTACTTGCTACTAGCTTCCTGTTTTCCCAAACAAGCTAATAGTAGGACCCTAGATGAAGATGGAATTGCCTTTCCAAACCAAGAACTCATCTCAGCATGTTGCAATATAAGCTATCCCAGTCTACAGAAAGGTTATGTCCGTTGTTACCTACCTATTTTTGGAGCAGTCAAAGCCTCTTATATACCTTCCTGCCTCCCATCAAAAGAATCCTTCATCCTATACCACTGGAAGCTAATTTAAGTTCACCATAATAATTCAGAAGCAAGGTATCATTGTGCATACAACGCGTTAACTATATTACCATACAAAAACATTTTCTTATGAGTTAATTTTCATGTTAAATCCTGCAATACTTTCCCATTTACCCTGTCACGGATATTTGAAATCTACTGAACTTTTTGCAACTCATCCCATAGTTTAAATTCACATCAATTTGACTCAGCTGGATACCAGATGAAACATTTAAGTCACTAAAGCTAACTAAATGCCCATTTCAAACATCCAGACTTATTCATAAGTGTTTCAACAATGCCTGCCAAAATAATGCTCTCTGAAGAGTGACAACACAGACTAAAAATTAGGACAAATGTGTTACAGCCCTCATTCAGTCACATACCAATGACAGCATGCTGAGAAAGTAGTTTCATCTCTCTGCACCTCAAATGTCTTTGCCTTCTTTTGTAAATTATTTTGAAGAAGTACTGAATTAATATTTTCTTTTGTGTTATGTCATAATTAATAATCCTTTTGTCCTTCTAACATTGAAATCTCACTTCCCCCTAAATCAGGGCTGTAATGCAGGGGAGAAAAAACAACAAACAACAAAATACTTCTGGTAGATGAATGTAGATCTTACACTCATATGAACTGAAGCAAATATTCCATACTGCTTCTGGTGCTAAACCTTTGGAGTCAGCATGAAACTAAAAGATGTAAAACTCCTGCTTTCTCCACAGAGGAACCTTCTTGTAGGATCCATTTTCCAGTGGCTTACACAAATGGCCAAGACTAGGTAAACATAGAGATGTTACAATAAAAGCCTAATACTCCATGAAAGTGGCAAGTTAGTCAGCATCTCTAATGACTACTATGAAGTAGGAGGAGAGAAAAGGAAAAACACAGTAAAGCTTCCTGTTTAAATGTTAAAAAGATACTTGATTATTCTCACATCTCAATGTTACCAACATAACACAGGCAAGTACCTCACTGAGAAACACGGCCTTTTCATACATCCTCTACCTATCCCAGTACGTGGAAGCAGCACTCATCAACTGCAGTAAGCTTACCCAGCAGCTTTAACAGAAATTATAAAACTAGTACTTGAAACAGCTGCATATTTTAAATGGTTTATTAATGTTTGATGAATTTTTCTATTCCAAAATAACACATTAGAATTGCAACTTCCAGAACTTTAATTAATGTTATTAGAAACACAAGCAATTATTTTCAAATGGAGAGAACATATTCTCATTTTTTTTTAAAATCTTATTTTAACATGAAAATGTTAACACCACCTTTCTGCTTTCACGTTTGAGATACCCAGCTCTGCATGTGCATCCATGTATTCAGTATGGCATGAGTCTCCAATACCCAGCACACCAGATAATACAAGAATAGAGGAAGAAAGAGCCATCCGGCACGCACCATATGCCCCAAATCATTCTTTGGTCAAGTTTATGTTGGTGCATTTGTGTCACTACAGGAATATAAATCACTATGAATAAAAAGTCTAAGACCAAATAAGAGCAGGGCGATAAGGTAGCAAATTGGAAATTACAGTGGTTAAAGGAAAAAAAACAACATACTTCAACCCTTGATGAATGAGTAAGTTCACAAGGAAATAGTTTCAATAGGATTAAACAGTATACTGAAAGAAAAATGTCTGCACTACCCCAGTAAGAGTATTTTAGGTTACCAAGTTCTCAATTTTCAGTCACATTTCATGCAAAAGTATATTTTTGATGGTTTATTACTCAAATTTTCCTTTACTTTACAGGCCCCAAGACAAAGACCAAAAAAAAAAAAAAAAAAAAAAAAAAAAAAAAAACAAACTCAAAAAAAAAAAAGTCAAGCATACTGCAAAAAGAGAAGAAACATTTCAGGACTCACTGCCTCTCCATGAATTTAAAAACTTCTTACTTCATATAAAAGCATATTTATGCTTCACAGTGTACATACCCTTTTAATAGCATGAACAATATATTCTGTTGAGTGCAGATATATTCAACTGTGGGAGTTCTTGTACCAATTTGTCTTCTGAGAATGTTGTTGAAAATCTGCGCAACATCTTTTTTGCCCTGTCAAAAACATTAGCCGTTAAACACATACTATTCAAGTCCACTAGGCAAGTTAACAGCTAAACATTATCATCATCTCACATATTCATAGCGTTCGAGTTCTGCAGTTCAGTCAGCCTCTGTGCTCTGATCTTAAACAGATTAAATATTCTGTTTCTTTATACCCACTGAAATATGTCAAAGCACTCAAAACATTACATCATGTTGCAGCCAGATCACAGGTAATTTACATTAAGAAGTAAAGCCAGCAGATGTTTCATCAAGTACTTCTATGTAGCATCAATCTCCTGGACTTATTTTATACTCGCTTTTGCCAATGACATACCAGTTTTTAAGTGTGCTCTTGCCTGAAAATGTGCTTCTTCAATATTCCATTATCCTCTCACCTTCTCTACGAACACGTAACACCACCATGAAGTGTGTGCAGAGCATTTCTGACTGCAGTGTTAACAGCCAACTTAAAACTGTAACTTACAGAAGTTAAATAAATGAGAACTTAAAATGCAAGTCTCACATTTTTCAATGGACAAAAGAAGCATAAGCAAGACCAGGATGCTAGAATTCAGCACAGATTATACACAAAAAAATGCATAAGGATAACACCACACAGCATAAAAGGAGCTGGGAATGTTCCATTTGTTAAATAAATAAATAAATATACACACACACAACTCCTACTTATTTCTTCTGTCAGACCACAGCTAAAGATGATAAATTTGTATGGACATTATAAAACATAAGGACTCTGCACTGTCACTTACATGCATCATCTAAAAGACAGATTTCTGTAATTAAATTTCCATTTTGGATTGCCATAAAGACAACTTCAGGAATATGTGTTACCAGATCTAACCCAGAAAAAGCCTAGGCAAACTTGTACTAAGCCTGGACTTGCATATAAAGGCCTGTTAAGCAACTCCACCTGAAGGCTCCCTGAATGTTATACATGAAAACCATATGTACATAATGTTTCTTGACAATCTCTAGCTGTACTATAAATGCCCTGAGTAACATCAGCAAGCTTTTGAATAAAACGGAGGGCATATTTAATTAGCAAGAATTTGAAAAACAATAGCAATTATTCAACATTATTTCAGTTTTCTAATCAACATCAAGAAGACTGCATAAGAAAAAGATTGAATGTTTATAAAAATGTAGGACTGTAGTTTTACAAATGGCATGTTTGTGAATTACCATGGACAGTTTTGTTAGTGTGTTGTTTTCAGGACATAAGAGTTTGTTTGTAAATGCTTGTTTTCTCAATTGCAATTCCATTGAAAGCCAGCCCAAAGCAACACCAGAACTCTTTGTTCTGAATGAGTACAGCAGTGTTTCTAGAAATTGCTTTACTCAAACTCCATAATATAGTCATCAACTCTCATTCACTAACACTGCCAATTTTGCGCTGAATCTCACAATTTGCTTTGGATTCACCAGCAAGAACAGCATTTCCTTATTACGCACATAATTGAACTGATAGTGGTACACAGCAATATCAAAGCTAGTTATTGTTAGAAGGATGTATTACTTAGTGATCTCATGGCCTAATAAGGGCAAACAGACACTGAACCCTGTGCCAATAGTCACGACTGTGAGAGGTGAGAGGGAGACTGTGCTAGTATTGTCTTCCAAGCAGAAGGACTCAGGTCCCTTATGCAAAAGGTGTTTTTGTTTCTTGATTTTTTTCCTTCATTTAGGAAAAAAAAAAAAAAAGGAACAAAAAAGCACCAGTTGCACAAGGAATACCATCCCTCCTACAGGCACACTAGCACAAATCAGGAGGGAGATAACTGGTAAGTTTATAAGACTGGTAAGTAGACGGTTGTGTTGACTAGTTTACTTGGAAAGCAAGCTTCCAGATAAGGATATAATTTTAAACAGGCCTTTACACACAGCAAGATTTGGATAGTCAGATAGTTTCTTAATTAAAACATTAAATTTGTTACTTTTCTGGTTTTTACTTTGTTACTTTTCTGTTGGTTTGTTGGGTTTTTTTTTACCATACTATTCAGATTCAAATACATTTGAGACTGTTTAAGAATCAGAGTGAACAGTCCCTTTCTACTAATAGCTCTCTATTCCTGTTCTACAAGCAAACCTTCTTCAGGAATGACAGTGAAGTTCTTGACACAAAACAAAAACACAAAAACCCTTTAGTTCATCACTGAATAACCTCCAGCTGTGGTCGGGCACTAGAAGAATAAATGCTAGACCTACTCTTCAAGTTTAAGAACCAATAGGAAATCAAGTTCGTATTGCCACCAGTAATGGAGAATCATTTCAAATGCAGTAAACTCCCAACCAGAGATTTAGGATATCAAAGCCAGTATCTGATTGACTTTGTAACAGCTGGGAAGCTAGTGCCTATTTGGAGCACAGGTGTGCTGACATTAATTCCAGGTTACAACAATAGCTGGACAGTCTGCCAGATCCCATCCTTAAAAAGCAGACATGGTCCAGCCTAGAAAGCAGCGTGAATGGCTTGTTCTCTCAAGGGGGAACGGTCATATCCTCATGTAACAAAGCAGCAGAAAGCCCACAAGCAGGAAAATAGTTGCAATCTTTCAAGTCCCCTTAGAATAAAATGAACAGTTCTCCTTAATGAGAGCAAGCCGGTACAAATTGTTATCATTCTTCACTACCAGGAGATAATGAAGGTTTCCTTTGCTAATAACCAGGCTGAGTAAACACCAAGCTGATAAGAATCTAGAGGTCAGCAGAATCCAGATGACGTTTCATGATTTCCTTTCTTCAGCAATTCAAGGCCATCACACTTCAGCATTCCCTCTCAGCTTTCCCAGGTCTCCTTGCTTATTTAACAACCTGAATGTTTTATGTTTGGTATAAACAGATGTGTGGGTAAGGAAAAAATACCAGCATATTACAATTAAACACAAATCAGAGGGAGTTATGGGTGGGGTGGAGGGGAGAGAAGAACGAACAGGGAAGAAAGCCATTGTTTTTGGAACGTAGTATTACAATAGGACTTCAAACTCTTGCGTCTGCATCATGAACAACTTGTTTATGAACAATCCTATTTTTAAGCAACTTTAAGTGGGATGGTCTTTATGGTCAAGGTTGTGGAGTGAGATACATGGGTTTTGTCTCCTTTTCTAGACAACCACACGCTTCTCGCAGGACCACAGGGAAAACAGGAAAATCTAACTCTACTGCAATTTCTTATAACTAAATAGGGTGATTCTTCTCTATGGCACTGGGAAGCTGAATTATTCCATGTGAAGTGGTAACAAATACCAGATAGAGGTTTGTATAGAGATACCTTTGAACATAAAAGTATGCTATTTTGATAAGTATTGCTATTTTGAAGTAATCAATAAAAACTTGGGTTTATTTTTCTTTTTTAACAAACAGAAAAAAAGATGAGAACAGAAAAAAGGTTGCATCGCTTGTTTCTAAAGAGAGAGAAATACTGGACGGTTAATAAAACAGCTTTAACTTAAATATTTAAAATTCCTCATAAATGTTATGATGATTCACTTTTCCAAGTTAACAAGATGAGAATATAGACATCCCTTGTAGTATTATAGCTTGTGTTCACTATGGTATTACTACTAAAAGATTAACCCTTCTGTGTATGCAACAATTAAGAATTATTTCATAATTTTAACAGAACTGCATCATCAGGATTAGAGGTGTATCTGCTTCAATTTTGTGTGGTTCATGCACCTAAATTCACAGATTTCATGTTCTGTATTTGCTTAACTTTCTAGGTAGTTTGGAACAATGAGTTCTCTTTCTATTGGTTTTGTCCCAGCCAGAAAAAAAAGCTGAAGATGAAAGAGTCTTAACCAATTAAAGCAGCAGGAAATGTGTTTATTTAACGCATACAAAATAAGAAATGTCAAACTTAATTTCTTACCTCAAAATCAATTAGCTGCAAGTCAGCTACTAGGGTACTAAGGAGACCACTGTTGTACAGCTCTTGAGCAAGCTGTGCCACAGCTTCTGTCTGTGGTTCTTTTTCATTTGTGCCATACAAGATTTCTTTCATGGCAACAAGGTTTTTTGAGACCTCCTCAGTGGCCTAAAGAAAATGGGTAAAGAATACAGTTAGAGCACAATGTCATTTGTCTTTTTAACTGCACACTCCATTATTCTTAACATCTGCAAACGTCTACTAAGCGGAAAAAAAACAACAAAAACAAAACCAAGAAATTACACCCTGTTAAAAAAAGAAAAATCTTTCTGCAAATAATACTGTCACATGTTATTGGAAAAAAAAGGTGGAGGCAAGACACGCCATTTATTTGACAAGTTATCAAAAGTAAAAATCTCTTCCTTTTTACTGTCTTTAAACTTCCCATTCAAAAATCCCCTAAAGAGTAGCAATGGGATGAAAAGAATCCAACAAAATTTCCATTCTGTAAAACAGAGGTATGCAAGATCAGATTGGAAAACATGACATGGAGACAGCCTGTCTAGTGAACTGCTCAGAGACCAAATGCATCCTTCCTACAGATTTTGCACTCGTCAGGTTTTGTCAAATACTAGGCTCCCATTCCAGTCAGTGGGGATCAAATTTTTCCTTTCCAACTAGTTGAATGGCAAAGAGCTCCTTTGAGAGCAGAATGGCTTCTTTAATTTTCAGGTTATCTCAATATATGAGAACAAACTGGCATACATACCAGAAAGAGGTGTACTCAGAAGAAAGAATACAGTGATACAGGAGTCAAAGTCTAAGATGCCTCCCATTTGAAGTCCATCTTACAGAAGGACAGACAGGTCTGACCTCTCAATTAGGGAAGCCAGCGTAAGGAATTCCTAAGTTGCTGTGATGGGCTGCAGCATCATTTAGCAGTGGAAGCAGAGTTCTCATAAGTAAAACAAAAAAATCAACAACACTTCTACAAGTACAACTTAAAACGCAGTTATCTTGGAGATATCCTTTCAAGATATATGTTTACATAGCTTGGGGGCAAAACACTGAAAATTATCCTCATAAATATCTGGTTTAATTACACTGTATTAAGTTCTTCATGTGCCTAAAAAGTATGAATGATTTGTAAGTGCACTCATTCTCAGTGATTAGATGAACCTGCCAGCACGGTATGCATAGACTTTAATGTAAAGTATTTATGACTGGTAGCACATGGAATATTAATGAAGTGAAAAAATTATCACTTTCTGGATATTGCCTGTCTTACAAGGGGTATGTAAAAAGATTTGTCGTTCATGCGTTTTATCTAGAGGGGCTTAAGATCAGCATGACCCATGCACTATTCAAGCCAAAACCATTCCAGCTCTGCTAGGTATGCAAGTAAGGATTCCATGACCTTTAAGGAGGCTCCATATCATTTTTAGCTCCTCCACAACTTTGCGCTCCCTGCTGCCTCCCTCTTCTTGCTAACTGCAGTTCCAAGTCCCAGTTGTCTCCTCCTTAATCGAAATTCCAAAAGATTTTCTGTGCACTGTTAGCAAGACAGCAAGAAGCAGGTGCTCGATAAGACTGCTTAGATTCATGACAGCTCCTGAAGATGTAAAATGAGAAAGCCAGCTCACCACATTGTAGTAGTATTACGCCACACAACTGTTCTATTTCTTTAAAATTGAGAAGAAATATCTCTTTACTAGGAAAAGAACAGGAACATCCGTCAAATGTGGAGGTATGAAGAGATGCCTTTGATGCACAGCTACCAAGAAAAGAGGAAGGAGCAATAAAAACTCTATTGCAGTTTGTCCCTGCATACTAATTTAGAAAGCAAGACGAAGGAGGAAGAAAGGCAGAGGTTCAAGTAGCTACCTATTTTAAGAAAGACAACACTAAGGGCATGCCTGCAACAAAGAAGAATGCCAGTGGAGAATTTTTCATACCAAAATCCCAGAGAACAGAACAACCCTAACAAAAATTTAATAACTACACTTTCAATAATTTTTAATGAAACTTCAATAATCATCACCACCCCAAGAAAGATGCTAGTAACGGACATGCTTACAAACCAGACAGAAAAAAATACAGTGCTCCCAAACACCAAGTGCTTTTTTAAAAATAAAATAAAAAGTCTTCTGGCCTAACAGGAACATACAACTCAGTAACCTCAAGAAGAGACATCAGGACTTAAACTTATTTCTCATGTTCTTCCCAACTGTCAAGATCATCTGAATGTACTGCACCTGAACTTGGAACAACATACAGTTTTAGAAGGAAATAATGGTTAGAGACACAGAAACATAGAACAGCTGAGGCTGGAAGGTATCTCAGGAGTTCATCAGAGTCCAATCACCTGCTCAAGGCAGGGCCAACCTCAAAGTCCTACCAGGTTGATCAGGCTCATGGCCAGCCATGCTCTGAATAGCTCCATGGACGGATGCTCTGGAGCCTCTCTAGGCAACTTGTGCCAATGTCTGACCACCTTCATCATGAAAAGAGACTTGCTTCTATTACTTCAACTTAGGCCAAACTATAATTTCTGGATACATACTACAAATACAGAAACACGAGGTTTTCTGAAAGTATTCTATCAATAACCAAGGTCTTTTGATGCACTACATTTCCATAAAATACGACGTTCCTATATTCCCTTCTACTCTACTCTAAAACTCAACATCAAAAGGACTAGAAACACACTCTTACAAACTTGTTCTAGAATCTCTCTGCTCTTCTATATTCCCTGAACTCTTGAACATATTCCAAATACATAATGTGCAGAGCTATTTCTGCCATTTCAGACGCAGAATGGAACTTAAGATAAATATACCAAAAAATATAACGCTACATTAAATAGCAATGTTAAGAGCGAAGTGAAAAACTAGTAAAAAAACCTCAAAACAGACAAGAAAAGGCTAGCTAGCATTACTTGCAAGATTTTCTAAGATACTGAGATCTAAATAATTGCCTAATGCACTGCTTGCTTTCAATGGAAAAAAAAAATCTCTAGAGGAAAATCAAAACGCACAACGAAGTTCATCCAAAAATTCACAATCAAAAGTGGAATTAACAATGAGACACCATATATATATGTATAAAATATATACATATTCTAATACAAATATAAGCAGGGTATATTTTACATATACAAAATATACAGAGACTACATATTATATATTCTGCATATTACAGTCTAAAATATATTTTTTGTATTTAAAATATTTTTTATATATATAGTAAAAAATTTTATATACATTCTCAACCTGAGAAAGAGCAACCATGGAGCAACAAGAGTTTTAGAGAAAAATTTTGTGAGAAGTCACATTTGAAATTCAATGATGCCAGACAATCAACACTGTTTCAGGACAAGTCAAACTATGAAAGTAAAATGTAAAGTGAGGAAAATAAAGAAAGTGCCTTTTTTTATCAAAGACAGGAAGACATTGTTTAAAAATAAAACCAGACAGCATGAAGAGTTACATGTACAATTGTCGCATGAGAATAGCTACATGTCTTTATCACTATGAACTATCATGGTTTATTGCAGTCTTTAGGGTACTTCATTGGTATTTCCAAAATCTACTATTTCTTTAAATGCTAAGCAGTGCAAATACTAAATACTTCATTTCGACTTGTACACCTGGAGTATTTGAGTTTTATGATGTAATACTTGCCTTTACTTAAAGAAACAGCAGAAAAAGATACAGAACACGTGGTCAGTCCTGAAGTATTTAAGATGAGCTCAACAGGCTCCTAGTCTATGGCTAGGGGTTCTATCCACATAGATAATGAATGCAGCTACATTAATTGCACAATTAATGTAAACATCCATCAAAAAGGTAAACTAGCTATAGTTTTGAGCCTGTACTTGGTGAATATTTTTACTAGTCTAGAGCAGTATCTATTGTAAGTAACAAACACCATTTTAATAATTTATTTAAATTTATTTGATTTCAAAACACTTACAAAAACATACAATTCTGTAAATATACGACTATCTAAATCAGTGCCACTAGTTCATTTTAAAGGCCAATAATGATTACATTATTTTTCAGCAGACTTCTAGCATGAAGATATCATTAAAGAGCTAAGTTCAATTACAGAACAGAAGCATGTCTTCTCACCCATTACTTCAGAAGCCCCATCTTTATCCTTTGAGTAACAGCCCCGTAACATAGGGCAGGCAGATTACTCAACCTTTAGCCTTCTTTCAACCACAAATTAATTGCAGACACGTGCATAACAAATTTAAAATTCTACTGCTTTGTAAATGACAGTGCTAACTCACTGAATGAAACCTGATTTATGGCAACATGGCATAATATTACATTTGGACAGCTGAATCAAAATAGCATATTGCATTGTGCCATATATATAGTATAGTGTCCACTGTACAGAGCTGGTAACTTAAAGAGCAACGGACAATGCCTGCAACAGTCAACCTGCACAGGTTAACAACATGGCTGAAACAATTATCCAAAAGCCAAAACCGGAGCTGTTATGAGCAGGTTAACATAAGGTCAGAGAGTAGGGAAGAACAAGTTTATTACATGAGTAAATATTTACCTTCACAACAGCAAACGTGTGCCACAAACCAAGTGAACTGGTAGTATAAAAAGAAATGCTGATGTCAGCCAAAGAGGAGGAAGAGATGCGAATAAAAGACTAATCAATGGGCTAGATCAAGGGTAAGTCCCATTTATACGAAACAAGTTTTCCTTCCCCTTCCCTTTACCCAACCTTTCTGAAAAAAACCCCCACAAGTAATGGAAAACTGACAGCATATGTAATGAACACATTTTCGGTTATAAAGCACTTGACATTTCAAGTTTCCCTTCCGAAGTACTAACAGACAGCAAGCGATTGCCTCTATCCTCAGTACAAGATGCAGCCAACAAGCACCCAGAGCTGCATATAGTAACACAAGGCAGACTGTCAGCAGCAAGATACAGTGCAGCTTTTACAGCCACTTCAGATCTCCGTTCCTAAGCAGGTACCACAAACTTAAAGAACATTTCAAAATGACCAGGAGAATCACCTGGTTAATTTCTCTCCAGTATTTCACAGAGCTCAAAAAGAAGGTAGATTAACATGCAACTAGAATTCGCTTTTTGAATTTCAAATATTTATTTATAAAACAAATTCTCCAGTACTAAAGGAAACAATGTTTTGTAATTGAACAAGATGCATTGTGACCACTACTGTTGTTTTACATCTTTTGTTTTGAAGAATCTCTTCCATTTTGATTGTAAACAACATACAGGAACACACACCATCCAAGCTTTAGACATCTTATCTCCGTCGCTTTTTCTTCCTCTCACAAAACAGTAAAGGTTTTAAATTTCAGGCTAAGCACTGAAAAAAACTGAGGTATTCTGTTCAAACATAATACATTACACTTTCAACTCCTAGGTAAATTTGTCTAATTTTCTTACAAATTTGTATTTTCAAGTGTGTTAGGAAACTGTCAAAGAGCATCCACTACATAGTAGCAAATTCAGTATTTTCATAACAGCATTGTGCTGCTACTGCATGGTAGGAACTACGGTGAACTACGTATTAAAAAAAAAAAACTCACTGTGGTACTGGAGTAGAAAAATACTAGTTTGTCTTTGGAACCTCAGCCAGCCACAAGTTATAAAACGAAATGGCATTTACAATTAATTTATTTTGTGGAAGAAATATTTAAAACAACAATTAAATTTTGAAACAACACGCACTGAAATTTTTTTTAGTCTAATCCACATACACATTTCAAATTCCCTATGTTCAAAAGTAAAGAAATCACATAACTGTGTGTGCTTAATTTTAAGAAACAAAGTAGTGTAGGAAAAGTAAGCATTCCCTGCATCCAAGAGGCTGTCTTTACCACAAACAGTAATCAACAGTGAATATGTACCATGTTGCTTAGCCTTGAAAGTTCATTGTTGTTATTTGACAGGCTACAAAAGCACACCCCTGGATGAAACAGCAACAATGAAGCAGGAGGGAAGGAGACAGACCGTATGTTATACAAGTCCAATGACTAATAAAATGGAGTTATAAAACAAATTACAAGCTCTGGCATTCTTCTCCCCGTTTCCTAAAGGGTAATAATTTTTGTGCTTTATGTACAGCGAGATTTGCTATTTCTGTTCCACTACTAGTCACAGAACTCACCCTTTCATCAGCACAGAATTCCTCTCCAAACAAGGCTGGAAAGTTACATTGCAGAAAGGATCATAATACTACAAGTGGCAGTGAAAGATTAAAAGATGCCTAAATAGAGACATTTTTCTTCTTTTTAATAATGGCTACTGCTCAGACCCTTGCTGTCTTTTAACTCCGAAATTACTCCAGTCATTTTTATAGACTGTATAGGAAGAGGGCAGGAATTCTGGGTGTTTAATCAGAGCTGTACCCTCAAACACGTGATGACTGATCCATAAGATACAGAAGAACTTTCTCTATCATACCAGCAAACAATCTGAGAATCTGAGATAAATGGTCACAACCGCAATCACCTTCATGGAAGTCTTGGCTTGCCAATGAAAGAACTACTTCCTGAAGAATCTCTGTATGGAGATGTGAACACCCATGTGGGTGAATGTTCAGATTCATCACCTGGTCTCCTCCTTTGTGAATAACGAGGATAACAGAGGCCAGCACTACCTCACTACCATACCCAACTCAGTCATGTCGATGTCAGTATTTAACCCTCCTCACATTTAACCTAGTGAACATGGTTTGCCTCCTTTTCTCCTTCAAGCAGCACGTGTTGCTGTCTGTATGACACAAGAGAAACAACTTTACAGACTTAGCATATTATTTCTTGTCAAAGCAGCAGCCTCACATAAACAAAGTCTTTAAAGAAGATGGAGGTGTGGGATTACAGGCCAGCAAGAAGCAAATGGTACATAATAATCTTCAGCTACAGCATCAAGAACACAGGCATGTGATATAGTGCACAGCTATGCACAATGGAATGAAGCTGGTCTGCTCCCCATTAGAGGTCTAAGCAAAAAGAAAAAGATGACAAAAAAGCATGGATTTTAAGATCAAGCCACATCTCCAGGAACTAATAATGAGGCTGAGATGAAGGAGGCAGTGCCATGCCTCATCACAGACTCTTCAGAATGCACCTAACCCTCCTCTCCTGACAGATGTCTTTATTAGAGAAAGAAGAAAAGCAGCAGTAAATGAAAATCCTCCCAGCCTCCACACAGGTCAGTAAAACAGGCCGTAACATTTTTCTCTCCAGCAAGAGAGAAAAAGCATCAGGGAAAAATAATACAGTACAATACAGTACACCGCAGAGACCTGGAACATACCACATGCTAGTATTGGGGTAGAAGATGCTGATTTTAAAGAATATTAGTATAAAGATGGCAATTCAGTTAAGACCAGATTCTCTTGCACTTCAAGTAGTAGTGCCAAATCTAAGTGAAAATGGATGTAAAGGTGCTGGCCACGCTCTGCTTAAAAACACTGGTGAACATGAAAAAGATTGTGACTAACTCCTCCACGTGACTCTGTAAGGATGTCAAGAATGGCACAGAACAGTTAAATAATGCTGGGAGAGGATCCAAGGAGGGTATCATAGCCTGCTTTAAAAGCTGGTAGATTGGAGAGGGATATATTTTGTTTGGTTGTTTTTTTGGAAGTACTGAAATCTATGTCCTTGTGCTGACTTTAACAGGAAAAACTTAATCTAAACAGTAAACAGCCCTGCCATATAAGCCACCAGATGGGATGCTACTGCACACAGGCTGAACTTCTAGTAAAGCTATCAAGACTACCAGTTGAGAAGTAAATGACTGTCAACAGGTACAGATCTTGAAGCAGCAAACCATCCTATCTAAAGAAATCTGCACCAGCACAGGAACTTTTCACCACATCTTCCTGCAGGCTAAATAAAAGTCAAGGAAAGGTAAAAGTACACCCTCTACTGACATCCATGAGAAACAAAGTTTCTCGGCTTGGATAACAGAGACACTCTGCTCTGTGAATATTTGCATGGACAAGCACAGACAGAGCTACTGTGCAGTAGGTAAAGTCACTACAGTGGACAGAGGCATCAGAACACTGTATGGCTGCGAGCTGCTTATTAAAGAATGCAACGTCCTACAGTTCCAAACCAAATTATTTTAAGTATCATATCAGCTGCCAGTGGCATAAAAATGCAAAGCCAACCAACATGAAACACACCTGGTTGAGGGTGCATAATAACTTACCCTTTATCAGAGCATAAAACCCCAAATTAATCCCTAATCGATTCAGTTTCAACAGCTGTAAATTTTTTTCCCCCCTTTTAATTACTGTTTAGCAATTGAAAAGTCCTAACTGTACCTTTTCTGCCTTTTTGTCAGAGATATCTTGCTTCTCTAGAACTGCCATACTTTCCTTCAGGTTCTTCACTATGTCTGCAGGAGACTTGTGGGACTTGCCAAAGGGGAATGGCATGATTGCGAGCCACAGTCTTCCTTCTACAGCTCCTGCTTCACCTGGAAAAGGAGGAGGAAAAAAAGCATGTCAAAAATAGAAACATGAGGTCAGTATAACAACACACATGAAGATCAAGAGAGAGTAGTAAAGATATTCACATGTGGAATAACCATTCTTGACGGCTGAACCAGACAACTTAAACGCTTGGGTTCTTAATTCTTTTAAAAGACAAGATACAGAATCTAAGAACTCACATTAAGATCTTCATCTTATGCTACAGGAACAAATTAGAGAGTACATTAATTACATCCAAAGCCACACACTGTACAAATGCCACACATGGGCAAGACTAACAAGGATAAATTATTCCAACTAATGCTGCCAGGCAAAATGCCTTCTTACATTAAGTCTTTGACACACAAGTCATCACGTCTCAGTAGCTCTGCAATGACCATCCAGCTACATGCTTTTACCCATATTCATTCCATAACAAATGCAAAGTAGACTGCAAAGCCTGTGCAGGAGCTACGAACGCGATGCAGATGAGCCTACAGACGGCAGCTTATTCCTATGTCAAAACACTCATGTTTCTGGCTTTTTCACATCAGTATTACTGTAACTTCATACTGAAACACAGTCTCATCCCCACTCATTTTATGGGAAACAAAATTTATTACCAATAACAGGGACATAAGTTACTTGAAAACATTAAAACCGTGCACCCAACACGTATCTTTTCCAAAAAGATAAAACTTGTCTTACATGAGCAACCTTCCTTCCTTAAAAATACTTGGCTCTTGAATCCAAATACAATTCTTTTGATATTTACACATATTTGCTTTTACACACACACATTCACTTCTGTGTACTAAATGGAAAAGTACTATGAGCATAAACGAGCATACAAAAGCTTTTGTTACTAAACACATACATCCCCATTTAAACAATAATAAAAACTTCTTACAAGTGAATTCCATAAAGCACACTTCTAGAACTCTAATCTAGACAGAAAAGAACAGGAAATCCTGCCTTAAAAATGCTGACAGCGCTACTTCTGCTACACACAAAAGACAGCTGAAGCTGACAGAGCGGAGATTACACTGTCATTACAAAGAAGGGATATTACCCTGAAAGTTAGTAATTTCTATCTCCATACAATGTCTGTGAAGTTAATAACAAGTCAACTATAACCAGTACACGTTAAAAGTTTCCTATCTAATACCATACACTTTAATCCTTGATTAAAATAACAGCTCACCATAAACTCCAAAATGTTAATCCTGATCTTATTCAACCACGTTTTGGGCAAGGATTAAAAATACCAATTTGATGCTGTTTTGGAGTTATTTTGATTTTTAACACTAACAAGTTGGGCTGGCCCAAGGGCAACAATTTAAAGGTGAAGAACAGAAGCAGTCAGATCTTTAGCCAAGAAAATTTCCACAAGTAGGTACTTTAGGTAACCAGCTAAAGAGATCATACCTTCACTGTTCCATGCCTGCAACTAACCTAACACAGCTGACAGAAAGCATAAGGTAGGTAGTTTTTAATCAGGTTATTTTCAGATAAAAGTATCAGCATGAAGGTTGAAACAAGACCTTACACCAGCCATTTCCATTCTTTAACAGATCACAAGGACTTTCTGTTGCTTTTATTTTGTAGTATAATAATTGGCTCATTACAGTCATCTCTCATTCATAATCTGCACAAAGAACGGCTTGTTAACAGTGAAATTACAAATGCAGGACTGGTACCCTAAGAGATAAAAAGTGCCCTCAAGTCATTCCTTAGACAAGAGAAAAGCGTGACTATTCATTGTTATTTAATGAAAATGTAATGGAATTTAAACAATGTTTAATGAAAATTATGGTATTTTCACAACGGATTTTTTTTCTAGAAAGACAGATGTGAAAATAAGTACCATTCCCCACAACATAGATGACATACCTCGAGCATCACAGCAGTATTTGAAATGTTCCTTTTATCTCCCCCTTTGATTACTACTCCTGCCAAATTAAGATAAGCCCTGAAAACAAAGCTGCATTCTTTCACACTCACATATAATCACTAATAATAACAGTCTTTAACAACTACTCAGCATATTCATTCTAGAAGACGGCTATTCTCATGTAACAGAGCAGGACTGGCTCAAAAAGTTGCTAGTCTTAATTCTTGGATTATGTGTTAAAACAGAGTAAAATCTAGCAGGAATCAAAACAATTCTTTGAGAGAGAGTAAGAAAATTATATGGAATCATAAAATCTCGTATTACAGCAATATACAAAAGAAAAGAAATCAAAATCAAGAAACAGTCTCTGCACACTCATTTTCTGGCTCACAGTTATGTTACTTCTAAACTAAACGACTACATGGATAACGTATATAACATATAGAAATACAGAACAATGACAAACAACTGTCCTCATGGTGTGCCCAATGTCTAGGTTTGCATTTCCCTCCAGATAGTGCTCAATCTCTTCTTTAAATTAAAAACAGTCTACCACTTTGACTTATCCATGAAACCTTCCAGGTTCTCCATAGATCAGATACACCTATATGCATACACAAGTCATACACAAGGTTTATTGTATGTATTAGCATATCTAATAGAAAAATCACAGTTCACTAGCACATATTTAAACTAAACATTTTTTTTTCCCCAATTCAGGTAAGTTCCTGTATGAATTTCTCATAGGCAATTTAGAAAAATCAGGAAAGACTGCCAGCATTAGTAAAAAGGAAATCCACATCCTTGATTACTGAAGGTGACATTTTGCTTCAAGGTATTTCATTTATTATGTAAAATGGAACAAATGCATTGTTTCTGCCATTTCAATTTTATTACTGGAAGGAATGCAGTGGCGCTGCCAGGAACATCATCTGGGGCCTGAAGTCTGAAGGCCCCACCAACCCTGAAGCAAAACTCCATTACTGAAGAACCTGCGCCACATCCTGCCAAACAAAAGCAGGAGCAGTCCTTTGTCTCTCAGAGCTGTACTTCATGCAGCAAGGAGAACATAGACAGGCTGTTCCCTTTTCACCCCAAGCAGCACTCTGTGCACAATAGACAATGACAACATCTGTGTGAGATCGGAAAGAACTGCAACCATCCACATCTGCAAAATGAGAAAAGAAGGAAACGACATCAAATGAGATCTTCTGTAAATAAGAACAGACCTAACATAATGTTCAATGGTAACTGTTTCACAGCACTAGTACCTGGCTGCCTTGCAACTTCATGATAAAATTTTGATTGTAGCTTAAGAAAGGGATAACAGGACTTTTGAAGAGTTAAACTGTAACAAATACATGGACGGGTCTGTGCTCTGCTGGGCTGCTTTGCTTTATCTTACCTTCCCAGAAACCTCACAGCTTTTATCCATTTATTAAGAGAGACCAGGAACGATATTACACAAAACAGAAGTTTAGACATGCATTTTACTTTACCAATACTCAAGCATGCTAAACATCATAAAATTTAAGGTCCTCAAAAGCACTGGTGTCATGGCCACATTTAGAAATCTTAAATGACATTATAAATCCAAATGAAATATCAAACAACAATATGGCATGCAGCCAAATACCCAGAGATTTAAGCTCGACTGGCACACGCTCAGGCACAGTGAGACATTTGGGCTTTTGTGATAACAAGAGATAGTAGTCCCACTGTTTCAAATAGTATATAATTTCCAGCTCTGTCAATGCAGCATGCATTCATGCACAGTTTGCTTTACGTATAAGGCTTTATATTTTCATTCGCTGCATTGACCACACAATCAATTAATGTCCAATATAAAACTATGTGTACCATATATATATATACACACAACCGCACATTAAAAAAGTCCAAGCCTAGTGAAAAAGGACTTCTAACATCCAGTTAATGCGCACAATAAGAAGAAAACTGCTGAAGATCAAACAAAATCAACATAATTTTAGTAAGGCCTAATAATCACAGTAAGGTTCCCCAAGATGAATGAGCCAACCCAACAGCTGGCTGCTGCCACCAGGGAGGTCCCACTCCCCCTCTGCTCCCAGCACCGCACTCCTTCCCCGACTTTTATGCCACGAGCCAATCCAACTCACTAAGCTATCAGAAAACTAATACATAAAAGGAAAGTGAGCAATGAGTGGTGTAGAAACATAGAAAAAACATCCCTTTGACCAGGAAGTAGTTGTGAATCAGCTCCCTCATCTCACGATCTCATCATACGGGCACTTCATGCTAAGGCTGGAGCTAAACGACAGCAGGACTGAAGGGAGAAGGTCATTCTCCATCAGTTATTTTGACTGGTCCAACATTGTCTGAATGCTCAGTGCGCCGACTGAACTCACCAAAACAGCAGAGGACAAACCAAACAAAAG